TCTGAGAAACTGCCACAGCCAAGAGGAGCCTAAAGAGACATGCCGACTAAATGTAATGGGGAGCAAATAGAGGACATAAAGGATTGAACACTAAGAAAATCTGAGTACTGTATCAGTGTGGGTTTGTTCATACACGGGTGTATGATGTTAATAACGGGCAGCTCGGTGCAGGGTATGGGGACTCTGTACCTGCTTTGCTATTTTTTGGTAAATATAAAACTGTTCTAAAAAAATTATTTCTTCTTTCTTTCTTTCCTTTCCTTCTTTCTTTCTTTCTTTCTTTTTCTTTCTTTCTTTCTTTCTTTCTTTTCTTTTTTCTTTCTTTCTCTTTTTTCTTTTGTGAGATGAAGTCTTGCTCTGTCACTCAGGTGGGAGTGCGGTGGCGCTATATCAGCTCACTGCAACCTCGGCCTCCCAGGTTCCAGTGATTCTCCCATGTCAGCCTCTGAGTAGCTGGGATTACAGATGCACACCACCGCGTGAGCCCCACGCCCGGCCCTTAAAGTTTATTATTTTAAAAAGAGCGGGGTGAAATTGTGGCAAATAGTTGTACAAACACACCCCAGTGAGAGAGCAAGGGAGTGCAAAGTGGTTGTTTGGTTTGGCCTTAAAGGCGGGGTCTTGCTCTGTGGCCCAGGCTGGAGTACAGTGGCGTCATTACAGCTCACTGCAGCCTCAAACTTCTGGTCTCAAGCGGTCCTCCCGCCTCAGCCTTCCAACGCTCTGGGATTACAGGTGTGCGCCATTGCACCAGGCCAGGTGTGGCGTTTAAACTGGGATCCTAACACATTTCATTGGTAAATTTCAATTTTTCAGGCAGCATATGTGAATTCAGTTTGGAAATTGCTTCGTTATACTCTGAGAATTCCAGCAAGGAGGGAGCAAGAGTGTCTCACAAAGATGACTACGCTGTCCTGGAATGGGGCTGTGCGTGCCACTGAGACAGCTGAGGGGAGCCAGGTCTGTGCCGTAGTATAAGCTAGCCCATGCGTAATGTGATCAACATTTTCTCTGAGTGCTAACGAGTGCTTTGAGTAGGAAAAAGGAGGCCGAACATGATGGTCTGGAAAAGAACAGTGTTCACAGTTAGGACGCCTGCTTCTAGGCCCCCCCCGGACTAGCTGTGTGCCCCAGGGGACCCGCCACTGCTCAGTTTTCTTATTTGTAAAATGGGTGTGCAGGCAGGTGTGGTGGGGCTGGTGGACTGCCAGCATCCACTCACATTACTTGCCACCCATCACGTGTCAGGCTTTAGGCTAAGTGATCTCAGCACCATCCTTCAAGGATTCTGTTACTACCCCCATTTTTCAGATTAGGAAAACCAGGGCCCAGAGACGTTCCATTAATGCTAAAGCCAGAAGGTGAGTACATGTTCTACAGAGAGACACACCTGGGTTCAAAGGCAGCTCAAACTGTATTTAGTGTCCAGTCTATTCTCAACCGTTCCGTGTACCGCTGTCTCCAAGGTCTAGCCAATCCTGACATTCCAGGGCCTACACTCTCATTTCCCTAAGGGTATCTGTTACCCAGGCAAGTCTCAAACCAGGTCTAAAAACACAGCTGCGAGTGAGGTGTCTGTCTGCCTTGCTCTGTGGAGCGGGCACCTCGGACTCTGGGAGAGCAGCCCTCCTGATCCCTCTGGCCAGGCAGCCCCCCACCCTCCCAGCAGCCCTGCTGGGAGTCCAGACTGTCTGGCCCTTTCTGCTGTCTTAACTAAGATGACAGGCTTCAGCTGTTTTTTAAATCAAAATGGTTTGTTTCTGTTCATCTCTTTTCCAGATGTAACTACCTAGAGGGAATCTGTCTTTATTTATTGGCTCTTTCCTGTGTAGAATAGCAAGGGAGTCTCCCTCTGGCTGAGATCCCCGGGAAGGAGGCCACATGTGGGGAGGGACTTGAACCAGGACGGCAGGAACCTGGGGTCCCCAGGGGCCTCAGGACAGAGGTCATGGTGGAAACCCTGGGAGGTGGGGTTGCCGTTAGGATTTTCTACTGGCCACGTGGCACATGTGCGGCTGAGATGAGGCGTGTGGCAGGGTCAGCACATTCCCTGCTGGGCTGGGAGGCTGCGAATTTATGAGGGGCAGATGCAGCCCCGTGTCCGTGTCTTTCACGTTGCCAGCTGCAGTGAAGGAGAGCATTTATTTTCGATTTGACAGCAGACTGAGAACTGATTGGCTTCCAGCTGCTTTCTGGATGATACCCTGTGCTTTCCTTTCTCTGCTTCCCTACAGCCCCCTCTGCCTAAAGCCGAGCTTCTCTCACCTTCTTCTCCAGTCTCTGTCCCCAGCCATCCTGACTCCACCCTGCCCTCTCCATCCAGCCTCCAACAGCAGCCACAGGCTCCATCCACAACTCACGTCTGAGCAGAACCCCCAGCTCTGCTTTTAATCCTCCAGGCTTCCTCTATCCCGGCGGGATAAAGCTCAAACTCTCTGGTCGGCCATGGAGCCCCTTCCCAAGCCTGTCCCCAGTCCTCCAGCTGCCCCTCTCTGCTCACCCTCTACATGGCCCAGGACTCCCTGGGCACCGCACCCACTCCCCCACCTCGAGCTGTTCCCTCTGCCTGGCAGCCTTCTCCCTGGGGCCCTGCTCTACACCAGCTTCTCTGGAAAGTCTTCCCCACCCTGGCCTGCAGAGCCCAAGACATGCCCGTGGGATGCAGGCACTGCACCAGATGTCCATTGCCTACTGATGGGCTGCCAAACCCTCTGAGTCACCCAGAGCCCTGTGAGGATGAGGCCACGCCCTGTCCAGAGTGGCATCCACATGCCTGGCACAAGCCCAGCACAGAGCAGCTCTGGACGGTGCTGGCTGACCACGGGATATGGTGAGAAAACGAATGAAGCTGATGCCAGCTCCTCAGGACGGGGGCACTTCTCTTCCCAGTCTAGGATTCCATAGCCTGCCCTGCTCTCAGGAAACCTTGGACAACGTGCCCCTGAGGGCCCTGTCCCGATGACCCCTCTTGTCATTCACAGGCATTCTGTGCGAAACAAAAGGTCACAGTGTTCCCAAAGTAGATAAAAAGATTGGTTTCCTGACAGGCATTCCAAGGGGATGACTCTGAAGACGCTGGGTGCGTGTTCCTGTGGGGACATTTTCTGGGATCACTTTGTAGTAACAGTCCACAGACTTGCCCCACCCCAAAACTATGAGAAGTTGGGGTTGGTCAAGGAGCCAAGAGGTACACTGACTATGCATTTACCAAGTGCCACAACATACGCCGAATACTCATTTACCGAGACCCCCAACATACGCCAAATACGCATTTACCGAGACCTGCAACATACGCCGAATACGCATTTACCGAGACCCGCAACATACACTGAATACGCTTTTACCGAGACCCGCAACATACACTGAATATGCTTTTACCAAGACCCGCAACATACACTGAACATGCTTTTACCAAGACCTACGATGTGAAGAGCACTGGCTGGGGCTGGGGCGTGGATGTGAGTTGGACAAGGCTTATCCTCAGGGGACATTCAGTGGGAGGAGCTGCCCAGATATAAAGGAGCACTGACCATGGCAGTGAGGCCCCTGTGCCCTGTGAATGCGGAAAGTGAAGGCTGCGGCGAGGCTGGGGAGGGTGCACAGACTGCTGGCAGGGGGTACACGCTCTGTAGAGAGGCCAGGACTTGAATTAAGACAGACAGAGCTTGCAAGGGGCAGGGATTCATGCAAGGGGCACAGTGCAACAGAAATCCAAGAGGTGGCATGGCACAGGACCTGTCCAAATGACAGGTGACTTCACTTGGCGATCAGGGTGTTTATGCACCAGACATGAGAGAGGAGGTTGAAGGGACTGGCGGACACGTGGTAGCCCCATATGCTAGGTGAGACCTCATCCTTGAGACCCCCTTGGAGACTGCCTGGGCACCCAGCAATGGGGGAAGGAGAGGGAGGCCAGGGGTGCCCATCCTCACTGCCCTGCAAGCCAGAAGGGCTCAGTGCCCATATTGATATGCAGGCACAGGCATTCCTCCACTTTTCCTGGCAGGACATGGGCTGGAAGACAGACAGCCCATGAAGAACTGGCCTGGCCCTGGGCACAAAGAGCCACAGGCTCAGCTTCTCTGGCTTGTACAGCTGGGGAGAGTGGCCCAGTCCTCTCCCCAGAATCCAAGGGGCAGAGTGGGAATGACCATGCATGCCATGTGGCCCATCCCCCACATTCCCACCACCTTGCTAGTCCCCTCGGTAGCATTCCCACCTTATAGCCTGGTATGGGACCCTTCCCCGCACCTAGAGCTGTGCTTCTACAGAGCTCTGCAGCCTTGCTGTGGGACCTAGCAGCCACCCACTCCTGAGCACCCCAATCCTCCTCCTCTGAATTCCTCTGTCCCACTCACATGGGAGCAGCCCCCTCATCTGACAGAGGAAGGACCTGAGGGCAGAGGTGGCCTGACTTGGCCAGAGTCCAGCGCGGGTGGGAGCAGCAGGGCTGGGCCTTGAATACAGGCCTCTGGATTCCCAGCGGGGCCCCCCAGGTCTCTGCTGAGCCCATCCTCGCAGGGTCCACCACCTGCCTCTCTGAGTCTTCATCACGGCTCCTGGAGGATGGGGAGTACTGCTAGCACCTTTCTGGGGCTCTGGGCGTCCTGAGTGGCAGTGGGCATACTGTGGTGCCCAGTGACCCTCAGCAGATAGAATTAGCCGCTGGCTTTAGCGACTGATCATCTCTCCGAGAAGACTCTGAAGAACTGAGGGGGCAACTTGGCAGGCTCAGGTTGGGGAGCTGAAGAGTCACCATGCTGCAGTGGAAAGAACGCTGACCTAGGACTCAGGGCTGAGCCTGTGCCTGGCTGGGCTGCACATCAGCCACCCTGGAGATGTGTCCCCTTCTCCAGGCTTCAGGTTCCCCATGAGTCCAGCAAGGGATGGAGGAACTCCCTGACCTCTGCTGCCCCCACAGCTCTAGCAACCCATGGCTCTAGGCACCACCAGCGTCCCCAGCAAGACCATGGACAGAGCCGAAAGCGGCGGTGTGTTACCCCTTGCTCCTGACAGATCTGCGTCAGCCTCTCCAGCTGCTCGTCTTGGATGACCTTGGCCTTCTCGTACTGCTGGATAACCATCTCCATCTCCACCTTCACTGGCAGGACGTAGGCTGGAAGACAGAGACAGCCCTGTAAAGAACTCAGCGATGGCAGGGCTTGGGCAGGGGAAGGGCTGGCCCAGCATTCAGCCAGCAGCAGGTTCTGGGCCAGTTCTCTGTGGATCTAGGGGGGAATATCCAGGTACCCGACAGCATCTGGAAAGTACAGAGGGCCACAACCTTCCCTCATGGTGTCAGGGTAGCTGTTTTCCTGTTTTCCATAGTTCTAGAACCCTTACTTGTGGGCTATGTGCACAGCTGCCTGGAATAGAGACTATTTTCCAGCCTCCTTTGCAGCTACAGGTAGCCACAAGAAGACCACCTTCTGGACCACAGAGCAGTAGTGAGGTGGTATGCAGCAGCCACAGAAGCCTTCTTCACAAAGGAGCTGGGGCCAGTGAGGATGGGGCGGCCCTGGAGCCTGCACACACTGGCGGAAAGGGAAACAGGGCAGCTACTTAGGAAACGGTTTGTCCATTTTTCAGAGTGTTAGGCAGACAGTGACCATATGACCCAGAAATTCCATTCCTAGGTATCTTAGGGGAAAGAAAAAGGTGTGTTTACCCAAAAAGTTGCACATGGACATTCATAACAGGAGTATTCCTCATGGCCAAAAAGTAGACATGACCCAATTTCATCAACCAATGAAAGCATAAATAACCTGTGGTCTAGCCACGCAGTGGAGTACTACTTGGCAATGAACAGGAGTGCCGTCCCATCACAAGCCACAGCACAGATGAGCCGCTAATGCATGATGCTAAATGCGAGTGGCCAGACACAGAAAAACTATGTCGCATGATTCCATTTATATGAAATGTAATGGAATGGAACAGGCAACTCTAGAGATGCAAAGCAACTTAGTGCTTGCCTAGGGCTGAGGTGACATGGAAGTGACTGCTGATGAGTATGGCCTTTCTCTTTGGAGTGATGAAAATGTTCCAGACAGATTTTTTGGTGATGGCTGCATAATTCTATGAATATGCTAAAAGCCATGGAACTGAGATGGAGTCTTGCTCTGTTGCCCAGGATGGAGTGTGCTGGTGTGATCTCAGCTCACTGCAACCTCTGCTTCCCAGGTTCAAGTGATTCTCCTGCCTCAGCCTCCCGAGTAGCTAGGATTACAGGCAGCCACTGCCACGCCCAGGTAATTTTTGTATTGTTAGTATAAACACGCATCTACCATGTTGGCCAGACTGGTCTCAAACTCCTAACCTCTAGTGATCCACCCACTTCAGGTTCCCAAAGTGCTGGGATTACAGAGGTGAGCCACCATGCCTGGCCAAATTGTGGACTTTAAATGTGTGGATTTTGTGGCATGTGAATTATATTCAGATGAAGATGTTTAAAATGAGACAGCAGTGGGCCTTCCTTTTGCCTCTTTATCTTCTTCCTTTCTTCCTTCTTCCTGGCTGGGATGAGGATGTGATGGCTGGCATGGGAGCAGCCATTTTGGACCATGAGGTGACTGAAAAGTAGGCTGAGTGCAGCAGAGCAACAGAACAGAAAAACAGGAGCCTGGGCTTTTCCCTACAGGGAATAAGTGACTGTGGTCAAGGCCGTATCAGCCTTGGACCACCTTCCTACAGACTTTTGTTTGTTTGTTTTGAGACAGTCTCACCCTGTCACCCAGAGGCTGGAGTGCAGTGACACAATCTCAGCTCACTGCAACCTCTACCTCCCGGGTTCAAGTGATTTTCTCAGCCTCCCAAATAGCTGAGATTACAGGCACATGCCACCATGCCCAGGGAATTTTTGTATTTTTAGTAGAGATGGGATTTCACCATGTTGGCCAGGCTGGTCTCAAACTCCTGACCTCAGATGGTCCACCTGCCTCAGCCTCCCAGAGTGCTGGGATTACAGGCGTGAGCCACCACACCCAGTCTGCAGACTTTCATGTGAATGAAATACGCTTCTGTGTTAAGACACTGTTATTCTAGGTCTCTGATACACAGATGATCCTATTTATAACTGATAAATGAGACCCAGAAGAGAAAGCCTGGCCTCTGAGATTGAGGCCCCCTGCTCCACCAGGCAGCAGTAGCCCCATGCCTCCCTTGGCAGTTCTGTGGGTTCAGAGTAGCTCTGGGCTCCTGGGAAGCCTCAGTGTCCACTCTTGACTTTCCCCTCACACTGTTCTCACCTTTCAAAACCCAGCCCTTCCTGACTCTTCCGAAACCTCGGTCACATGCCTGTCTTGCCCCTGATTTCTAGAACCCTCCACACGTCCTCTCTCCAAGTCTCCTTTCCACCCGCAGCACCTCCAGATGTTTCCTGGCTGTTGCAGGAATCATGCAGAGAAGAGACATCAGGACTTTTCTGCCTGCTTCCAGACTCGAGGGCCGACCACGTGTCCCTGAGATCGGCTCCAGGCCCGGAGGCCGCCCCAAGCTGCCGCTGCCTCCTCGCATCTCTGCTGAAGCCAGTTCACACTCAGGGTTAATTTGCAAGAGTAGCAAATTAACACCCATCTGTTCACCAGCACATCTCTCTCCTGAGGCTGGTGGTGGCTCCAGGATGCCTGATGTGGCAGGAAAAGGGTGGGACAGCCAGGAAGAGTGTCTCAATGGCAGCTGTCAAAAGCCATTAGTCTGAGGGTGTACAGCTGTCCACAGCTGGAAGAAAGAGCCAGAAGGTGCCTTTCCTGCCCTGAGGGGGACGGATGTTCTCATGGACAGAGCCAAGAGCTGGGCCCGGAGCAGACTGCAGTGAGTGAGCAGCCAAAAGAGTGCTGGTGGGTGTTGGGGGTCCTGGGCTCCACATCTGGTTCTGAGCCTGATTCACTGTGTGAACCTCATCCCTCCTGGCCTTGGTTTCCCCATCTGCCAAACGAGGGGAATGAACTAGGTGATCTCCCAGAGCCTCTCCAGCCTTCCAAAGGCTTCTGAAGTGAGACACAAACACATTCCAGTTTAAGGAAGATTCTGTTATTAAGGGATCTCTGACAAGATGTCAGCATCTTCATCAGGACCAAATCCCACAGTGTTCCCAGGGTGGAGCACGGGGTGAGGAGCAGAGAGAGGGAGCCTGCCCTGAGGATAACAGCTTCTGCCTTGCACCTGCTGGGGAAACGCTGGCAGAATCATCTCATGGCTACAATTCCTATCATCTGCAATCAAAATTCATGGCTGGAAAAGACCATAGCATCTATTCCACTGGTTTTAAAACTGTGCACCAGAAGGCCTGGCAGTTCCTTAGAGGTGCCTCAGAGGGCAAGGGAGAAGGCAAGGAGGTGGGCTGCGAGGCCCCCACTACAGGTCAACCAAAGCAGCTCCACTTGCAATCTCTTTTGCAGATCGGGTATGATTTTGCTGAAGAAAGGGCTTTGCAGTTAACCAAACCAACAAAACACCCTGGGAACCACTGTCTATACAACAACTGTCTAAACACCCTGGGAACCACTCTAGGGGGGCCCCTCCTGGAGGCTGAGCAGCCCACTCTGAGTGGCTGTTCCTCATCTGGCTGAGGTGGGGTGGGCTTCCTCTTCCTGTCCTCAGGGGCCAAGGACCACCCTCTGGAGCCCGGTGACTTAAGTCTTCCCTCTTCCTCGAGATGACTTCAGTGTCCTCCCTGTGTCATCATCCTCTGGGCCAACCCCACCCCCAGTATCCTGCACCATTCTTCAGGGGTGGGTTTTCCACCCCCCATCTCCTCTTGGCCACATCCTCTGGTCTGTTACCACCTTCTGGAAACATAGGAGCCACCCAGCTCAGGACGTAGCTTTCCAGGCAAGGGTGGCCCAGTGGGGAGGCAATGAGAAAGCAGTGACAAAGGGATGGACCAGATGCTGTCTGGGAGTGGAGACCTAGCAATGGAAAGGCATGTCGCTACAGATGATGGTAGCACAGGCCAAAAGCCAGCCGCTGCCAGCAGCTCTCACGGAAATCTTCTCTACTTGTCTGCAGGTTGACGGGCTTGTGGGCACCCAGCTTGTCCTTGGTAGACTCAAAGGTGAGACAGAGCCTGCAGGGAGCAAGGCATTGGCCAGATGACCCAGACAGAGCCAGTGGTGAGTCTGGCGGCCATCGGGAGCTGGCGGCAGGGGTGCATCGAGATGCCCGGGTGGAAATGTCTGCTCCTTCCAGAACGGCAGGCTCTGCTCTAAGTGCTTGCATGGAGGCTGGCCCTCCAGGCTCACAGTGAATAGCTGCATGGGAATGAACACACGGCCCCTGAATGGGAGGTGGGAAGCTCAGCGTGTATGCGTAACACCTGGGCAGTGTGAGTGATCACGTGACGGTGAGTGAGCAGGGATAGCTGGCCCCTGTCCCCACTGACAGTTTCACCTGGCACCCTGATACCAGCAGGGCATTACCCCATCACACGCTGTCTCCTCTCTCAGTTGACAGTCCCAGTTTCTGGAGCAGCCCCACTGACCACGCCCCCCTTGGGCCACTCACCATCAATGACCCTCTTCACCCTCCAGATCCGGAGCATGATGATGAGGCTGATGGCATCCCAGGGGCTCCTGGGTCCGTTGGCCACAGTGGATGCCACCATCGGAGCCAAAGACAGGATGATCACAGCCCCGTCAAACACCTGTAAGAGGAGGTACATTTCAGTGCCCTGGGCCCTGCTGCGTATCCAGGACTAGGGGTCAGTCCTGCAAAGCAGCTAGTGCTGCCCAACTTCTCCAGCGGCCCGGGCCCCCACCAGAAGGCCATCCCATCCCTGGCCCTTTCTGACCCTCCTAAGTCTTTAGGGGCCTCCTCCTCCTAGATGTTCTCCTGAGCGCAGTCTGCCCTCTAAGTGACCCCACCCCATCTCCGGCCCTTGATTCAGATGGCCTTGGACTGTCTTGCCTCTTCTCAAGATAGGGCCTGCATCCTATATCCCAGGCCCTGGGCAGAAGCCAAGCTGGCTCCCTCCCTGGCAGGGTAGGAGCTGAAGGCAGGCTCAGGGTGCCTCCTTCCCTGGGTCCAAATCTCAGCTCTGTCCAGAGCAGAGTCTCTAACCCTGTAGGGAGCAGGGCTAGGCGAGGAGGAAGTCTGCCTGCACAAGGAAGCCCTGGGCCCTGCCTTCCATCCGCCTGCCCCAATCCGGCCTTGTCCTGAGCCTTTCATAGGCCAGGCGCTCTGTGTGGGATCCCAGCACTGAGCCAAAGAGGCTGGAATATAGATGGAGAGGTGAGGAAAGCATGGGCAGCAGATCCTGACCACCTTGCTTTGGCCTGTGTGCATAGCACTGCCAGCGATAGCCAGCCCTCCCTGACCTCATCCCCACCCTCGTGGTGGGAAGCAGGATGGAAACCCAGCTTGAGAAGCGCGTTGACAGTTTCCCGCTCAGCTCTCCATTCAGGGTGAATTTATTTGTTTAAAACACATTTCAAAAGGTTTTCAAATTGATTCAAGAAGAAATTGTCAAGGAGATTGTTTTAGAACATTTCTTTGCTAGAAACAGTCTCGGTTCCCCCTCCCTGCCCCACCCGACCTGTGCAGCCACAGAGGTGAGGTGGGAGAAGGAGCCAGCCTTTTTGACGGCATCCATCCTGGGATGGATGGGACATGAACTGTCCAGCTTCCAGGATGGCTGGGTGGGGGGCCTGGGGGTGGACACTGGTCTTTACCTCTATTTTGTTTTCGATGTAATCCCAGATCCCAAGCACCACAATCCGTACAACAGTCTGAGGAAAGGAAGTGAGAAAGTGGTTATTCTCCAGGTCCGCCTCCATCAGAGAAGATTCCAGAGCTCAGCATTCAGCCTCCGTGTTCGGGAGTAAGAAAAGGTCTCCGCCGTACCTAAGCATTCCTCCGCCCCTGTGCCCTCCCCACTCCAGGTGCCCCAGCTCCAGCCTCCTTGATGGCCGCGCCTCCTGCTGGCTCCTCCGCCTGCAGGCTCAGATCCCCCACCTTTGTACCATCCCCTGGGAACCCCCGACGCCATCTTCAGTGCTCCCTGTACACAAAGAATACACTCCGAATCCCTCGGAAGGATACTCAGGACCCTGCCTGCCTCTCCTGGCTCTTTTGCCACCCGTGTTATGCTGCAAACCACTTATGAATCTTCAAACATGCAAGCTCTCTCTCTCATGGCCTTGTCTTTGCACGTGGCAAAAGCTGCAGTTGACTCCCCTCCTCATCCCTCAACTCCAAATCTCTTTCCTCCTTCCTGTAGAACTGAAGATCCAGCATGGCCACCCAGCTAAAGACTACATTTCCCAGCCTTCCTTGCATCTAGGAAGGGCCATGTGACATTCTGGCCAATGGCTAGCGAGCAGAAGCACTTTGGGTTGTGCCCTTAAATGAATTAGGCTCCTCCTCCTCCTCTGTCTTCCCAAGACCTGGAATCGGGTGTATGAGTGTGCCATCTTCAACCAAAGAGGGCCAGGCTGCAAGACAGAAGCCTGCTGGGTCCCCAGGAGCCCCAAGCTGCCACATCAGCCTTACCAATCTACATAACGTGTTCTTCCATGAGAGAGAAATGGATCTTGCCTTGTTTAAGCCCCCGTGTTTTTGGCTTTCTTGTTACAGCAGATTGGGCTGTGCCTGAGTCTGGAGGGCTTTCCCCTTCTTGTCCTTCTGACCCTGGTTTAAACGTCACCTCCTTGAAGCTCTTGCACACTCCCGGCTCAGCAGGCACCTCCTTCCTGGGCGTTCCTATGATCCCTGGGCGTCACCCTCCCACAGCACTTCTTTGTACCTTGTGCTGATTCCTTCCCCATCCCCCAGTGGAGGCTCAAGAGACCTGGTCTGCTTTCTCACTTTTATCCCTAACGCCTGGCATACGTAATTACTGAATGCCACTGCCTTCAGGAGCGGTTTCCTCATCAAGACGACATCTTTCTCCAAAGCAGCTTCTTAAACGCTGGTCTTCCAAGATACTGGTGTGTTTGTCTATAGGCTCTTCCTTGAGCCAACATGACTTTAATTCACAGGGATTCACACCAGATGGTGCCCGTCTCCTTCCTGCCTGCCTGCCTGCAGTACAAGCCCAGCCTTCTAAAGTCTGCGAAGCTGCCCAGAGGATCATCACCCACAGCTGTTACGCCACAGAAAGGCTTGGCTGGTAAAATCCAGCTCTTTCTCATGAAGGACAGTCTTGATCTCTGTGAAGGGATGGGAAGGCTGATGCTTGTGGTGGACAGTCAGGTCGCCTTCTCTGAGTACAGAGAGGAGCACGTGGCAGCCAAGGTCCACTCCTCTATGACTTCCTGCTCTCTGAATGGGTAGCCCATGACTAACCACAAGACAGCTCGAAGGAGTGGGAAGAGATCTGGGTGAGGGGCCACAATGTCTTGAGATCATAGCTTAATAACGGGATGGTTGTGTGGCCTTTGGCAACGCAAATCCCCTCCCTGGGCCTCAGTCTCTCCTTCTGCCAAAGAGGTGGGTTACATGTTAACAATTCTTCCAATTATTTATGAGGATAATATCTGCCATCTAGTATATGTCTATGAGTGCCAGACCCTGGGTCAGCCCTCCTCACATGTGATTCCCATTTTACAGGAAGGGTCAGAGAAGTTAAGGAAGCTGCCCACAGACACACAACAATCAGGAATGAAGTCAACGTTTGGCCCCAGGGGTTTCTGGCACTGCAGAGTGCACTCAGCTGTGTAAGAACACCACATAACAACCAGGTGCAGCGGCTCACACCTGTAATCTCAGCACTTTGGGAGGCTGAGGTGGGTGGATCACTTGAGATCAGGAGTTCAAGACCAGCCTGGCCAACATGGTGAACGCTCCTCTCTACCAGAAATATAAAAATTAGCCTGGCATGGTGGCACACACCTATAATCCCAGCTACTCAGGAGGCTGTAGCAGGAGAATTGCTTGAACCCAGGAGGCAGAGGTTGCAGTGAACTGAGATCACGCCACCACACTCCAGCTTGGATGACAAACAGAGAATCGATCTCAAACAAAACAAAACAAAACAAAACACATGCATACCACAAAATAATATGGTTTCTTCTGTCACTGCCCAACCCCTCTAACTGTGCTGAGATTGAAACTTAGTATCGGTCTCCTCTGAAATGCTACAATAGCCACATCTATCCTGAACTCTCAATTCTGGGGCTCCCAAAACAAAAGTCCAGGCTGGGATGGATGGAACCAGGGCCTGGTGCAAATGTAATTTCTGCTATGGCAACTGCTCCCTCTTTCTCTCCATTCTTCTCTGGTGAAATACACATAACACGAAACACCATCTTAACCATTCTGAAGTGTCCGCGTGGCATGAAGCACGTTCACGCCGCTGTGCAACCATCACCATCACACACCTTTAGAGCTTTCTCATCTTCCAAACTGAAAACTCTGCACCTGCTGAACAGCAACTCCCCATTCTACCTTCTGTCTCCACAAATCCGACTCCTTTAGGAGCTTCAAATGAGAGGAATCACCATGCTTCTTCAGAAGCAACACTCTTCTTAGCTGAACAGGCAGGGGCCCAGGAGTGAGGGGAGGGGAAGCCAGCCAGGTGGGGGACTCAGCCAGCAGTGGTTAAGCAGGAGAAGGAGGCGGCAGACAGCGCACCCAGGCCTGTGCCCCCTGGGAAGGAAAGAGGCTGAACGATTGTGTGATCCAGAGCAGTGCCAGGAAAGCAGACAAAACAGCTGGAATGCTGGCCGCTGCCTTCCCTCTGTGCTGGCCCCACGCATCCTTGGAGGCCTGGCTCAAGCCCCCTCCTCTGGGAGCCTTTCCTTCCTAGCTCAGCCCATGGAAACAGAACAGCAATAGGCCACTGTGGAGAGGGATTTGGAAACCCGGCCAGCCTCCTGCTAGAGAGGGGGAAGTAGTGACTCCAGGTCAGGGTCAAGGTCACAGTGACCCTGGGTCTGAAACACCCCACCTGCTGGCTTGTCCCCACAACATCCTTCCCCTCCCCAGACACACTGTCCGCGGAGGCAGGGACAGAGCCTCACTGCCCTGCCCCCGAGACAGAGCACAGTCTTACACCTCTGAAAACCCAGGCTGCACTAACCCACTGCCTGCCTGTGCTTCTCAGTGTGCTGCCAAGGACTCCCGCTTCGCAACATGGAGGGGGGAGGGTTGATGTAAAACACGGATTCCTGGACTCTAATGGAGAGCCAGGATATCAGAAACTCTGGGCACAAGGCCCGGAATATGCTTTTTAAACAAACTCCCCTGGAGCACCCAACGGAACCGCAGGGATGTGTAAGGTGACCCTGCCCTGAATCCCAACAGACCACAGGCCCAGAAGCAGTAAGGAGAAAGGGCATTAGATGAGGAGACAGAGTCTGGTCCTCTTTCTGGCTCCAGCCATTCCTTACTAAACCGCCTGACCCTGGCTGGATGTCTGCACAGATCTGGACTGAAAGCAGATCAGTGACTCTCGTGCTACCACTTCCAGGGCTGCTCCAGAGCTCAGGGAGGCAAGTGGCTCACTAAAAGGGCAGGGTGATGAGGGACTGCCCCATGTGAGCCCCAGATCCAGCCCTAGCCCCAAGGCCCATGGTTTTGCAATGCTGGCCCCTAAAAGTTGCAAAGGGCTTTGAAGGAGCATCTGAGGGAGCTGGAATCCCCAGCTTCAGATGCCTCCTTTCCCACCTGGGGCTAAGGGTCTCGGCCTCCTTCATTCCAGCTTTGCTTTCAGGAGGCTGCTGTGATGAGCGATGCAGGCCAGAGCCTTGGCAAACACTCCCCGATGGTGCCGTTTATCATTTACTAGGAGCAAGTTTTTATGCTGTTTGAGAGATGCAGAAACTGAGGTGCAAAGAGGGGCAAGTGAACCTTCTGGTCCCTGGCCCCCTCCTGCCTTCCGCCTCAGGTGCCCGCATCTTCTGTTCCTCATCAAGCCCAGCTCTCAAGAAGGGACTCTCATCTCTTCCAAGGGAAGGAAAAGCTGACTTCTCTGAAAGAAGGGATCCAGGCTTCAGGCTGTGGGAGGGGAGAGTGGGAAGTCCCAACCCTTGCGCCTGGTCCAGGCCCTGTCTCAGTCAAATGGCAGAAAGGGCTCCTGCCCCTTCCTGCTACCTGAAGCCGAGCCCTCCCCTCAGCAGAATCAGCGTTTTTCCCTGGGGAGGGGACTGATGAGGGTGCTGGTGTTTCAGAACCTTGGGAAGTAGCTGTTCGTCTATAAGCTGGCTTTGTGCTTTTTTTTTTTTTTTTTTTTTTGAGACGGAGTCTTGCTCTGTCACCAGCCTGGAGTGCAGTGGCGCAATCTCGACTCCCTGCAACCTCTGCCTCCTGGGTGCAAGTGATTCTTCTGCGTCAGCCTCCCGAGCAGCTGGGACTACAGGCACCCACCACCACGCCCAGCTAATTTGTTGTATTTTTAGCAGAGATGGAGTTTCACCATGTTGGCCAGGATGGTCTCAATTTCTTGACTTCATGATCTGCCTGCCTCAGCCTCCCAAAGTACTGGGATTATAAGCGTGAGCCACTGTGCCTGGCCAGCTTTGTGCGAATTTTTAAAAGGCAGAGGAGATCCCCAGCTCACCTCTTAGTGAGCAGAATACGGGCTGGACACCCCTGTGGCCTGCAGAGTCTTCCCCATGTGGGGCCCACCAGCCAGCGAGAAGGGAGTGGCCCGGGTCTAGCCCCAAGCCTGTGGCCCCTCGACACTGCCACCAGTGGGTTGGGGGCGTGGGGTGGTGCGTGGCTTAGGGGAGCACGGTGGCCTAAGGAACAGCCACCACAGGTACCAGGCACTGGAGGCTGACCCCTGGCACTTCCTTAAGAAGCAGATCTACTCTTGGGCAAATTTCCCTGGGGTGAAACTACACTGGCAAGAGGAAGATGTGGATTCCAGGATCCAAGTCCAAGGCCAGAATAAGAAATGTGAGCATCTGTGTGGCATCTGGACGCCGCCACTAGTCTCACGCTGGTGAGAAGAGAAGAACTGGGACTGGACGCAGTGGCTCTTGCCTGTAATCTCAGCGCTTTGGGAGGCCAAGTGGGGAGGATCAGTTGAGCTCAGGAGTCTGAGACCAGCCTGGGCAACATGTTGAAATCCCGTCTCTACAAAAAAAAAAAAAAATTTAGCCAGGTGTGGTGGTGCATGACTGTAATCCCAGCTGCTGGGAAGGCTGAGGTGAGAGGATCGCTTGAGCCAAGGAGGTTGAGGCTGCAGTGAGCTGCGACCAGACCACGGCACTCCAGCCTGGGTGATAGTGAGACCCCGTCTCAGAAGAAAAAAAGGCAAGTCTGCTGTGCTGCCTTGCGGATGAACCTAGAAAACATGCTGAGGAAAAGAGGCCAGCCACAAAAGCCACGTAGTGTGGGATTGTGTTTACAGGAAATAGCCGGCAGAGTTAAGTTGACAGAGACAAAGGCAGATTACCAGCCGGCAGGGGCTGCGCTCAGGAAGGAGGTGGGGTGACTGCTGATGGGCATGGGGGTCCTTTTGGGGGTGATGAAAGTACTTTGGAATCAGGTAGAGGTGACGGCTGCATATCGCTACATGGGTAGTAAATGCCACTGAATCGTACACTGTAAAAGGGTTATTGAAGAGAATTTCACCTCAACAGGAGGAGGAGGAGGAAGAGAGGGAGAGGAGAGTCAGCAGCTGCCGCCGCCACTGCCTAAGGCTCCTATCTAGAAGGCCAGCCACGGTCCGCTTTCTCTTCTCCCAGGGAAAGAGCTGGGGCTGCCTGGGCCTTTCCGGACCCCAGGGATGAGATGAACACCCCACAGCCTCCCTGGGCCCTGCTGCAGGGTGGCCTGGCCTTGGCAAGGAGACCCCAAGGACAGCTGCAGTCTCAGGGGAGGAGCAGCAGGCTTCCCAGTTCCAAGTGGCCAGCTGGGCCTGGCCTCTGCCAAGGGCGGGCTGTGCTTTGGAAGAACGTTTGCACAGATCTCCATTTGGATTGCAGGGCTCTGCTTATTCTTGGTGCTACAGGGTCACGTGACACACAGCGACCCCGTGTGACCTGGAAGACTGGGGCCCAGGAATTCTCTCGGGCACGCACTCTCACCTTGGATCCCTGCACAGCCCGCCTGACCAAGGGGCGCCCACTCACACTGCTTTGAGAGTATCTGTCTCACTGTCAAACAGCTTGGCCCATTTGAACAGATGTCCTCAAATGGAGCCCAAACCAGCCTCACGCTCCCCTTCTCTGGGCCTAGCTCTGTGGCCTGGGTCCAGCACAGAGCAAAGTGGCCCATCTTCCCCGAGCAGCCTGCAGAGCTCCGAGGTGGGTGAAGGCCAGGGCAGAGGCCCGGCCACCCACCCAGATTTCTGCGCCTGGGCCCGCCTGCCATTCCTGCAGGCCCTGGGCAGGTGTGCGTACCTCTCTAGGTCTCAGTTTCACAATCGTAAAATGTCCTATCTACCTTCCAGGGCTGGCCTAAGCCTCAGCTGAGAGGAGGGGTGGAGAACCTCAGGAGAGGCCCAGGACAGCAGGAGCCCTGAGTGGTGACCTTCTTGGAATTTTCCAGTGGAGTAACACCCACTCCCTAAGGCTGAGGAGGCTTGGAGTGTCGCCCCACCCTCGGCACACAGCCACATCCCAAGTATTAACCAGGAAAAAACAGCCAGACCTGAAGAGGTGACACTCATTTCTCCCAGCTGAGGGGGGGTGCGGTCATCCTGGGTCTGTGGTCTGAGCAATTGCTCAGTCAGACTTTCTCAGGTCTTCCTCAGAGACCTCTGTCCCTTCCCACCCTGCCAGCTTCAGGGCCTCCGAAGGATGCAGTCAGGGACAAGAGACCAGCTTAGGGGGCCAGAGCCCTGGGTCCAGTTTTGGTCATAACTGGCCGTATAACCCTAGGCTGCCCTCCTCGCCTGCGTAGTATTTTTGGAAAGACACCACTGGTGCAGGCTGACCCACCCCTGATGGACACTGGGCTCCCCTGGCCCTTCCTACTAGGCATCCCAGTCATCGTGAAGGGCACAGACATGCTTGCACATGTCCAAACCCTCCGGGGCCTTTCTAGCAACAAGGTGCTGACACGGATCTCATGGGCACGCAGCAAGACCACGGAAATCTGCACTTGCTAGTGTGGTGTGAGCTGTGTGTGTGTTCCCAGCAGGCTCCGTGCCTCACTCATTCATCACTCAATCCCCGTGCACTGGCCCCTCCATTCACACTGGGCAGAGTGCACTGGCAGGGGCGGGTCTCCCCTGCCACCTGTCACCTGGCTCCACCCCCTCACCATCTTGGACAAGGTCAATGCCATAGAGCCAGCCCTTCCCCTCAGCTGCCTGCAGACCCTGCTCTCCCTGCTCAGCGGTGAGAGGCCCCAGCCCCTGCCTGCTTTGCGGGTGCCTGTGGAGGACTCTGAGGCTGCGATTCCTTTGCACAGGGGTTTGTCTGTTTCAGGTGGCTCGTCTCCGGCAGTGACAGGAAGGGAATGCCAAATTAACGCTGGGCAATAAATTCTGCAAAAGCCAATAAAACCAAAGCAGAGGGATAGAGGGAAAGAACCGCAGCAACTGATTAAACATTTTTGTTGGCAGTCACAGACACATGGCACATTTTCCAAGGTTTGCATCAAGGAGACATCTGGCCACAACCCATGTATTTGCAGGAGGGAATCCTGGCCAGGCAGAGACAAGGGGCCTGGGAGGGCAGGACCCACATGGGGGCCATAAGCTGGGGAGCAGGCACTCTGCTCTGGGGGTCAGAGGCACCTCCAGGGCAATGGTCTCAGGGGGGTGGTTAGGATCCTTCCTGGGAGGGCAGTGGTGGGATCTGCCCCCTCCATCTGAGCCCCAGGCCCAGGATCTCCGGCGCTCCGTGGGCTACAGGAGGGGAGACCCGGGAAAAGGAACGTTCTGTGCTTGGGATGCCTGCAGCCCTCTGCACCGCATCCCACACCTGGACTCAGACCCAAAGCCCAGCTCTCTCCTGATTTTTAGGAAGAGAGAGAGCAGAGCCATTAGCTAGACTTGAGGGGACCCACAAGAGGATGCTGGGATTCCTGACTTCAGGGGTTCCCTACCTCAGTGCCTCTGTCCACACCACCCTCTCCCACAGCCTGCTTCCTCCCTTCAAGGCCCCTGCCTTGGGGTCCCGGAGTCCCTGTGCCTCGGCTGGGGCAGCTCCTATTGGCATGAGCCGTGTGTGTGTTCCCAGCAGGTGCTGTGTCTCACTCACTTCTGCCTTTCCCCGCATGTTTGCTGAGCCAGCCTGAAAGGGCCACAGGACACCACATGGGCTAATGTACACTCATATTGGGGATGGGAGGCTTGAGGGTGGAGCAACACAGGGGACTGCTGACTTGGGCTAGTCCTAGGCTCTGTTAGGTGAAACAGTTTTCCACATGAAACTGTCCTGTCCATCAGTGACCCTCCAGAGTGCACCGGACAGAACAAAGCCCTGCTGCAGCAGCCCACGCCGATTCCTCCCACACCCACATGCAGGCGATCATCTCACCATGACAGCCTGGGAACTGCTCAAACCAAGTGTCACTCACCCCCATGCAAAACAGAGGAACGTGCTGTGTCCCAGCTGCCCAGACACATCAGCTTCTGCACCAAGCCCCGGGGCCCCAAGGACCTCTGTCAACTTTCCCCCCTCCCCTCACCATAGACATCCACACTTGGTCTACCAGCTGACTCCAGTGACACTGATGGCGGGGGTGGGGAGTCTGTGCTCTCTGAGCCCCCACCTTGGAAACAGCCCGGCACATCTCTCAGCCCCGTCAGACCCAGGGCCCCTGCAGGACCAGGTCAGGTCCACTGCCTGGCCCTGCGACCCCATCCCCTGACCCGTCCTCTGCGAGCTTCGGCCCCAAGGGTCCAGCCCACTGTGGACCACAGCCAGAGTCCCAACGGCTCCCCTGTGCCAGCTCCTGGCTTCAGCCCTGCCTCCTGCCCGCTCGTTACTGGCCACACCCACACTGGCTGCCCCTCGACATCACACTCAGTCTCACCTTCACCAGCGTCATCCACCCCTCACCTAGAGAACACCTGCTCATCCTCTGGGCTTCCTCCCAGGGGTCCCCTGCTGGGGCTAATCCCCCTGGCTGGGAGGGGCTCCCTGCACCATTTCCACCCATAATGCTCAGCTGTCTGTATTGCATCTTCCTGCCAGCAGCCTCAAGGGCTTGCAAGGGGCCTGAGGCTAGACACCATTTCAAGAAGCAGACCTTGACTTCCCCAGGACAGGACTCACCCAGCAGAAGAGGTGACAGGGCCGGAGTCTCCACCTACCTCTGAGAAGAACACGGACAGAATGACCAGGCTGATCCAGTGAATCACACCAGCAAACTGGAACGCGCTGGAAACTGCAACACACACGATAAGGACCAATTTTAGGAGCGAGGAATTAGGTGCATTGCTATGGGGTCTTTGCAGCATCCATGTGGACCTCTGGGACCCCCGGGCCCGCCTGCATGAATGTTTAGATCTGCTGGAAATCAGGTCCGAGAGCAAGGGCGGCTTTAGCTGGTCTGCAGTGAAGGCGGTAGGAGGTTTGTGAGCCAACAGTGCTGTTCTTTCCTCCAACCCAAGGGGCTGCCTCCTTCTCCCCCACAGGCCACCCCTCTGAGCACGTGCTTGGTCTTTGGTGGGCTTTTGGCTGTAGCCGGACTCCAGGAAAGCAGCCAGAGGGGGCTCATGAAGACATTCACGGCTTCAGGCTGTGCAGGCAGCTTCGGTGGAGGCTGGATGGGCTTTTAGAAATCCAGCCCACAATTTACCCCCAAAGCGCTGTGCACAGTTAGGGGACTCTAGGTGAGCTTACTGTGGCTTTTCATTCTGGAAACCGAGTGGCAGAGACGGTGGTGTCAGCCAGGGTGTTTCAGACAGAAGACTGCAGTGAGGCCTGGCAGGGGAGCCGGGCGTGGGGCGGGGGTGTCCGCCTTCCTCCCTAGAGTGGCAGAGCCCGTGGGCTGGGGGCTAAGAAACTTCCTTTTTTAGCCCTACTTTCCCCCAGGTTGTGGAGTGAGTGAGGGGAGCCATCTGCCCCTGAGGGTTCCTGCCCCACCTTTCACCAGCCAATCCTTAGAGTTAAGGCATTTTCTGTGGACAACCCTTTTAAAATACATGAAGCCACGGGCAGCCTTCGAACCCTGGCATGGCATGGTTTTCAGCCAGCAAGGCCAAAAGTCGCATGCTGAGGCCCAGGACAAGGGTCAGGGGATTCTGATGGAGACTGGGTGGGAGGGATCACCGCGAGGCTAGAGGGCTCCCCAGAGGCCTAAAAGAGATACTGTTGGGATACCCTGGGATACTGGGGAAGGGCTGAGACAGGGCTGAGACAGGGCTGAGACAGGCGAGGCCAGGAATGCTACACGTCTGCTCTGCCTCCTTCATGGGCTGTAGCCAGGCCTGCTTCAAACACTGCTCAGAAGCCCCCAGGGCCGAGGGAAAATGCCCAGTGGCTTCGGTGGGGAAGGCCAGACTGAAACAGAGGAACCCACAACCTCTCCCAAAGCTCTGGGATCTGCAGACCCTGGGGGTGAGTAGAAACCAGGTCACAGAGCTTAGCCAGGGGAAGATGGCTGCAAAACCAGGTTCCAGGTGGGAGACTCTGAGGCCCCCTGGCTTTGGGCCAAGGTGACCCGTAGAAGATGAGCCCAGAGTCGGGCCACATGAATACCAGTGGGAACGAACGGGCTAAGGCCCGTGTGACTCCGAGAAGACCTCCAGATGATTCTGAAAACATAAAATCTCTCCCTATTATTTCTCAAATGAATTCCTGTGCCTTTTTTTACGGTTTGCTTTAGAAGAGCAATAAATCTCTGATTGTGTGTTTTATGGAATTTAAGATGCCTTTTATGAGCTGCTATTGGATCTCCCACCAAAATCAATCTCCTGGATACTTAATTTTAAGCAAAATTCCAGTGTCGGCTGGGTTCTCAGTTCTCCTCAGTGCCTGTCACAGCCCGAGCAGCCGAGGGCCCCGAGGACAATCCGCCGCAGGGAAAGAAAGGCTTCGTTATGGTCAGGTCTCATAAAAAGCAGACAGTATGGGTAAGTGGGAGGGAAAGTATACAACATGGTTTAATTGAAGACAGGTTGAGTGTAAAACCGGTACCGGTCACTTTATGCTAGAAGATCCTTTAATTGGAACCCAGGGACCACCAGCTGCATAAAACCCAACTAGGCTTATCAGACAAAAGCAATTCTGTGCTCACCGTTCATCCTCTCTCAGAGAGCAGAGAAGGCTCATATGACTTGGAGGGAGCCTGGACAGACCCTGAGTTCATAGGATCCCGTAAAGGAATTGGGGACATTTGAGAAAGGAAGCCCAAGATGGGGAAATGGGTTTGGGGGTGACTGGATCTACGGTCCTGGATTTTCCCAATGGAAGGAAAAGAAATCTCTCTGTGACAGATAATCGTACCTCCTTTTGCTTTTTATTATTTATTTATTTATTTGATTTTTTGTTTGTTTGTTTTTTGAGATGGGGTCCCACTCTGTTGCCCAGGCTGGAGCGCAGTGACGTGATCACGGCTCACTGTGGCCTCAACCTCCCAGGCTCAAGCGATCCTCCCACCTTGGCCTCCACGAATGAGATTACAGGCATGCACCACCACACCTGGCCTGTGCCTCTTTTTAAATTTGCACTTGAAGGATCTACCTTTCAGGTCAGGCCAATACAGGGAACCAGGAGCTGTACCAGAAACCACTCACTTATCCAAAGTCAACAGACAAGAGGCCTGCCCCCTGCCTCTCTGTGTGACAAACTGCAGGGGGTAGGCCTGGTGGGGCTAAGCAGTGATCCCCTACTCAGACAGCGTGTTGCTATGGGACATCCAGGACAGAGAGGTGGAAAACAAGGTTTAAGGTGAATCTAGGAGAAATGCCCGGAGGAGGAGGACTAGACGAGCAGTTAAACAGCCTGGTGCCTCGAAATCCCAGCTCCAACACCTCTTACCTATTCTCACGTCTCCAAATCTCAATTTGCCTTGCCTATAACATGGGATCATATCTACCTCGCCCGTCTCACAGGGTTACTGTAGTGTCACAGGTGCAGAAAAGTGCTTTAAAAACGATCACGATACATAGAAATCACAGTGCCGACTCACAGCTGGGTAAAAATACCAGGAATCTCAGCATCATTGTGGTGGCTGCCGTGATTAGTTACTACAAGGTGAGATGCCTCCGTAAATGGGAACTCTCTTTAGACTACAGAAAATTGCAACCTAGAAAATTCCAAATGGGAACAATTAAAAAAAAATGCATACAGGGGTCCCCAACGTTTTTCATCTCATCAGTTTCTGATCATGGAATGCTGGGGAGGGGACTGCAGAGGCCACATTGGGTAGAAAGGGGTAAACCGAGGCTGGGGGTGACAGAGAGAGAAGCTGCCAGACGTATTTCCCCCCCCAGTGGCCATCCCCAGGGGCCTGAGCCGGGCAGCAGCATCAGCGGGGGCAGATCACAGCCTGCAGGTTGGGGACCCCTGATGAATGCAGACGCACAATGAATATTGACATCATACGTATCGGCATATGTATCTCTCTTGCTACTCACACTGGAGAAGCTTTATATCTATTAGAAGTTCCAGAGTCAGGAGAATCACCACCAATATTACACAGGCTACCAGGAAACTGTTGAGACTTGCACTGAGCAAAAATACCTGCCACACGGCTGCTCTCTTCCCACAGCACGGCTTCAGCCAGTTAGACCTGTGGGGACACAAGTGGGGAGAAGAGAGGCTGAGAGTGTGAGAGGACAGGCGGGTGGGCCCTGCCACAGCCCTGCTCTCAAACCCACCAACATCCCTCCTCCAGGCTCTCTTCCCAGCTTTAGGCTTCATGGCCAAACACAACCTCATTCAAGAGGCTGGGGAGAAACATAAAGGGTGAAAACGTCTCATTAAGAAATAGAGCTGCCCATTTTTTTTTTTTTTTGAGATGGAGTCTCACTCCATTGCCCAGGCTGGAGTGTAGTGGTGTGATCTCAGCTCACTGTAACTGCTGTCTCCCGGGTTCCAGCAGTTCTCCTGTCTTAGCCTTCTGAGTATCTGGGACTACAGGTATGTGTCACCATGCCTGGTTCATTTTTGCATTTTTGTAGAAATGGGGTTTCATCATGTTGGCCAGGCTGGCCTTGAACTTCTGACCTTGTGATCCACCCACCTTAGCCTCCCAAAGTGCTGAGATTACAGGCATGAGCCAGCGCTCGGAGCTGGGCTTAGATGCAAACCTGCAATGCATGCATCTCTGTGCTTCAGTCTTCTCAAGGTTAAAAAGGGTATGAGATTGACATCTGGTGGACTAGCGGACGGTCGGCATATGTGGCAAGTGCAGCTTGGAAACGATGTGTTATTATGGCATTTCTGTTCATCTCAGAACGCGGTAACATGGGCTTTGGCATTTCAGAACATCTCAATTTGCCTTTAGTAAATGCTTGATGAGGCCAGGCACAGTGGCTCACGCCTGTAATGCCAACACTTTGGGAGGCCAAGGCGGGTGGATCACAAGGTCAAGAGATCAAGACCATCCTGGCCAACATGGTGAAACCCTGTCTCTACTAAAAATACAAAAGTTAGCTGGGCATGGTGGCATGCATCTGTAGTCCAAGCTACTCGGGGAGGCTGAGGAAGGAGAATCGCTTGACCCCGGGAGGTGGAGGTTGCAGTGAGCCGAGATCATACCACTACACTTCAGCCAGGGTGACAGAGTAAGACTCTGTCTCAAAAAATAAAATAAAATAAAATAAACAAATGCTCGATGAATCACTGAATGGATTTTCCATTTTACAGCTATAAAAAGAAAGATTTGAACCAGATCCCTGTTTTTCAAAGTAGGCTGAGTAGAACACTAGGTCCACAGAACGTTCATAGTTGTTATTTGATATGAAAGTTTCCATGGTTGGGTACGTTTTGGAAAATTTGGGTCCAACGAAGTTTAATGGGAATTTTTCTCTGCGGCGCATTTTAGGGCCTTCAGCATGCTCTTACGCATCACCACTGTCCCAAAGGGATTGCAGAATCAGGGCTTCCCAAACTGGCTGGACTGTCTGATGAGACTCGAGTCCCATGGACCTTCTGGGCAACCCGTGACTATATGATCCTGGACATCACAGCAGAGGTGAGGCTGCTGAGGATGGAAGCCTTCCTGAGCAGGTCTGGAGGTGGGAGGGGTCAGGGGATCTCAGAGCTGGGTGGCACCACAGGGCACTGGATGCCCTCCTCTCAGGAGCAGAAGGGCACCGCTGAGAGGCCCGCGGAATACAGGGCTGGGGGAGCTGACGTCAAACCTCCCCGGCTTGGTAGTTTAGGTACCAACAAGACTTGCCTGCCTCCCTTGCTGAGGAAGAACTAGGTATCCTGAAGTGGCAGCCACAGCACTCACCCAGGAGGCCATACTTCTGGCTCTGCCTTTGGCCACCCTGCGGCTGTGTGTGAAGGCTCCTTCCCATGTGTAATTCCTGAGAATGGTCCTGAACTCGTAGGCCACTAAGTTAAATGAGGGAATTTATCTGCCCTGTAAACACAATGCAGCTGAAATGGATTCATGATGGTGACGATGATAATAAACTATCTGACGGCAAAACACAGGGCCACCACCTCCTGCCCTTCCCATCCAGAGGGAGCCGATCACCCGCAGCTGCTGCCAGAAGGGCCAGCGCCCACCTCCTGCAGATCCCAGGCCTGTCATGGGGCTGGGAAGGGAGCTGAGGCGTCCCCTTCTCTTGGAAGAAATAACGTGAATACTTCAAGGAGATTTCCCCCTCACAGTCCATCCAGGAAAGCTGGAAGGAGTCCCCAGCCACTGGAAGGACAGACAAAGCTCACAGCTCTTCAAGAAACCTGGCAGGAAGCTGGGCTTATTCACATCATTCTGAATATTTTCTAACACCTCTGGGAATGACAGGCCCCATCCTCAACTCTGCGGGGAATGCAAAGGCTGATGTTCAGTCCCCAATCTCGGGGAGCTGCTCCCAGAAAGAGAGGTAGGAGGATACCAACAGGCAGAGGAGGAAGAGGAAGAGGCCCTTTTGGATGGGGCTGGTCTATGTGAACCCTACATGGTCCAAGAGTATGGTGCAAGGGATCAGGAAGCCAGCCAGGTCAAAAGAGAGGGTTTCTCATTAAGGGACAAGCAGAAAAGAGGAGGGGAATGGTCTGTGGAGGCCAGGTGGGGAAGGCCATGGATGAACACCTCCACGCCCACTGCAGGTGGATTTCAAAGTCCTCTGCAGAACCACTTCTTTCTGCTTTCTAGCAGGCACACAGGGGCTACTCCCCAAGGCAGACGAAACCCCAAGCTGAAACTGGGAGGAGCTCAGGAGAGTTGCCAGATCATACTCAGGATGTCCGTTACAGCCCAACTTCACATCAACAATGAGCGATTTTCTAGTAGACCCTGAACCTGGCATACGATAGACTCAGACTAAAAAATGATCTGTTGCTTATCTGAAGTCCAAATTTAACTGGGAATTCTGTATTCTTATTTGCTAAAGCTGGCAGCCCTAAACCCAAGAGCCAAGGGGTCTGAAGGGGCCCTGGTGAGAGCAGCTGTGATTTGATCAGAGAATGGATGGGAACCCTGGGGTGCAGGCAGAAAGCCAGGTGAGCTGGGGAAAAGCACATGAGAAGGCCATCTGTCTCGGAGGGGCCGCGGGGAGGGACCCGGCCAGGGAAGCCAGGTGCTCAGACGACAGCTTTGGCCCTGCCGGGCTGGAGGTTCGCACAAGCCTCAGGCTGCTGCCCACAGCAGTGCCATCGGCATGGCACGTCCATCCGTTAAGGAGCCTTTGCATTTTAAGGTATCTCTGGCTATCATCACGTGGCCACCCTCCTCACTCCTGATCCTTCCAGCATCACCTACTCCCCCCTGCTTCTTTTCCCAGGGTGATGTGATGTTCCTGCCTCTCCTTCCGCCCCATTTTCATCTTTCACACTTCTCACCCCAAGTTCACGCCCAGCCTCCAGCCACCTCAGCGCCTCCGGAAGTCAGTTCCCCTCCTGCCCTCTCTGCCTGCTCACTCCTCCCCCTCAGCTCTAGTTTGGTCTTTTCTAGGGCCCAAAGACACCGGCTCTAATTCCACATCCTCCCCAAAGTTTCTGTGTCTGTGGCCCCTAAAACGGACGCCATGTCATTGTCATTTGAAATCTGAGCCAAGCACCCTCAGGCGGTTATGAATAAAAAGGGCAGCTGCCAGGGCCGTCTACCTGGGCTGGCCAGCAGGAAGCCACCTTACATTCCACGGAAGGCACTTGGCATTTGTTCACCTCTGTGCCTTGGACATCCCTAAGACACGGCTCCTTCTACCCCAGAGGAGTGTCCAGAAGGGAGAAGGGAATGAAACGAAGCATCGTGTTCAGGCATTCCGTATATTCAGTTCCCCATAAACAGGAGACTCAGATCGTGACCTGCCTCCAAGGGAGGAAAAGCCAATGTATATTGCTGTTTAAATGTTGGGTTTTCTCTTTTTTTGGTTAGAGAAACTTACTAACTGCACCGGGTCCAGGTGGTTAGTGGGAAGCCACATGTGCAAAGGGTGGTGGGGCCATGCTCAGGAACTTGTAGCAAGGGAGAGAGATGCAGGTGGGCGCCTGGAGTTCCCTGTGGTCTGAAGTCAGCCCATAGTGGGCCTGGCCCTGACACCAGAGCACACTCCAGCCAGGCAGAGGACCTGGCAGATGGCAGGATTCGAACGCCAGGCAGGGGATGACAGCCCGGAAGTCAAACGAGCGCTGCCCCCACCATAATCTAGGCAGGCAGGGTGACCAAGAGGCAAAAATCCCTGCTCTTGGGCAGGCTACACTCCAGTGGGAGAGAGGGTCAGACAATAAACACAGCAGGTGACAGCCTGCTACAAGGCCACAGGTTCTGTGAGGAAGAAATGCAGAGCTGGTGGCGGGATTAGGACAGTTAAGGATGACATTTTAAATATGGTGGTCAGAGCAGGCCTCAGTGAGAAAGCCTCTCTGACAAAGCTGATGGGGTGCGGGGAGAGCAATCCAGGCATGGTTGAAATGTACACTAAACAGGGACTGTTTCCGGTACAGTTATATTCAGCCCTGAAGTACCCCCAGCATGAGAAATACCAAGGGAGCCAGGAGTTGGGTAGCGGGGAGGACAGGGCTTCCCCCTTCAGCGGTGGGTATAGCTCACTACCCACCGACACCTGGGGCAGATGCTGCGGGGGCAGCCACAGCCAACACGGCACCCAAGAACCCCGAGGCAGCTGCACGATGGAGCCTGTGCCAAGCTGCTCTGGTCCTGTTCTTCCATTCCTGTGCCAGCTCACTTATCCCCCACCCACACTCTGCCCTCAGTAACCCGCCCCTCCTCCGTGCCAGTCTGGGAGTGAGTTCGTGCAGGCCTCCTTGTTTGCTCTGGGCACTCCCTCCTCTCAGTAACCCCAGGGCAAGGCACGTGGAGGTGGACTCGATTGAAGTGGAAGGACAGAAGACCACCATCAGGGAAACAATAGCATCCAGGGGACACAGTGGCTGGTGAGATCTGGCGGCTGAGGGGCAGGGAGGCAGGGAGCCCTGGGAACTGGGGGTGGGATCTGCCTCCAGGTCAGGGGACCTCAACCCAAGCTGCACACTAGAGCACCCGAGAGAGCTCTTACAAACTCCAGGGTCCGGGCTGCACACCAGGACTCCTGCACCACAACCTCTGTGGGAGGACCCAGGCCTCCTCAGATGACTCCAGCATTTATTCAA